CCTGGGCTCTGCTCCATCCAGGCAGAATATCCCTGGCTCCATGCATGGATGGAGGGGATTTTCCTCATCTCCCATGCTTGCTGCATCCCTGGAGTCTCTCACTCTGCTGGGTAGAAGCAGTGAGTTGGTCTTTCCCTGCACAAGTCCAGAGAGCCAGGGATCCCCCCACAGCACAGCCCCAGTCTGCCAGAAATCAGCAAGGACGGGGAATTCCCCCACCGCCTGCTTGCTGCTGACCAGGAGATCCAAGTTGCCTATGGTTGGGCAGACAATCCCCAGCTCCCTGCACATGTTGGGGGAAGAATTGGCTTGCTGCTGCCACCAGGCACAGCAATCAGCTTCAGGGCTGCAGCAAGCACGGGGTGGCAGGTGGGTGAGGAAATCCCTTCCATCCATCCATGGAGCCAGGGACACCTTGCCTGGGTGAAGCAGAGCCTGGGTCTCCCAGAGAGTAGCAACCTGGGGGAGAAAATCTCCTTCCACTTCCCCCAACACATGCTGGGAGCTGAGCAACTTGCTGTCCTCTGGGGGTGCAAAGCTGCTGTGTCGGTTTCAGTGAGATCAGAGAATCCCAGAGAGTCTTTGGTCTCACTGCCGTTGACACAGTCAGTGGCAATACATAGGGGGTGTTTGGGGGTGTATGTGCACCCTCTGAGAGCACCGGTGCACCCCCTGACAGTGAGCACTCCCCACTTAGGTGATGGGCGGGGGGGGGCCAGGCAGCACCAGTGCCTCCCCTGCGAGCACTGGCTGGAGAGTGGGGGTGCCAGGAGAAGTGCTGCTGGGACTTCTGGGCTTCTGGGTTGGCATGATTGGTTGTGGGGGACCCACCCCATCGGTGAGATCATAGGGAACTTCCCCCAGTTGTTGACTGGCTGCTGGGGGGCACGTGCCCCTCCCCCAGACTCAGGAGGCACCAGTCGCCCATGGAGACAGTGATGGACCTGCTCTCAGCCCTATGGGAGCAGCAAGTGCATCCTGCCTCTAGTACTGCCCCTGCTCACCAAGCCTCTAGTGGTAAGCCCCAGCTGTGCAAATGAAGGACAGTCAGAGCAGGTTTTTCATTCTTCTGTGTGACTGCTTCATTAAGCCGAACAACACTAAGCCGATTAACATTTATTCAGCTTACAGTGTAAGGTCAAAAAAGGCGCTCTCTGAATCCATCCTGTGTCCCTGTGTAGGCCACATCCCTTGGCAGTACACCTGGGTGGCTTTGTCACGGACACTTGTGGAATTTTCTGGGTGCAGCTTTCCAAACAGTAGTATAACTGGAATGGGCAAGCAGAGCATCAGCTCTGGGCACTAACTTAGAGGAAGCACCAGAATGGCATTCCTCTGCCACCCTGGGAGTCTTTGGCACAGGAGGTACAGCTCTGCACCATGTGGACATAAAAAGCCAGGTAGGCACAGCCTTGTGTTCAGTAGTATATTAGAGGAGAGGGAGTGAATGAGTCACCACAGCAGCATTCAGGGAGCCTGCACCATGGTGCTGCTGCAGCTGGTTTGTGATGAGTCTGTCCGCAAGCTGCAACAGCCCAAGCCCATGCTGCTACAGTAAGAACTGCATCAGTAGTAGTTACTACCAGAGTACGGAGTGTATGGGCAGGTAAGACTCCACTCTCTATTCCCCCCACTTCCCCTGCTCTCTGGTGTTTGGGATAATCCCTCACCTCCCTCAGCCGGGGGTGCTGAAGGAGTTCAGTACACACCTCTGTTGCCCAACCATCAGTACTATTTCTGTACTATACTAGTTCATGGAATGTTTCCCCCCTCCTTAGTTCTTAAAAATAGCAATCAAACAATATGGAAAGTCATATATTATGTTCTCAAGCCCAAACTTACAAGGTGCTCTATATTCTTACCTTCCATTGACTTTGATTGCAGTTGAGAGTGATCAGGATGGGCCTCATAGTAATTAGTAAAGGATAAATGCTTGTTTACTCTTTATATTCCTTTGTTTAAATCTTGTATTTTTCTAACCTGTGGGATTAGAAAGACATTCAGCAGTATGTTCTTAAATGTCTTGAAACAAATGTAACAACAGAAAGGTCACTATCTAAATTTTCTTATTGAAGTTGTAACTACTTTAATCCCAGTATGTGAGGATTAAGTTAAATTCAGATTTTTAAGTGCAACTGTTCTATTACAATGTAAACTGCCTTTTCCATTGTTTTTTGGAGGTAGTTGGAAGAGAAATATACTGTTTTGTGAAAAACTTTGAAATGTCAACATTTGTATTAATTCTTCAAACAGAAATGAGACTCTTAGAGTCCCCTCACACACCTGAGAGCCACCTCCGCTGATTAATCAAAACTGGTATTATTGTAAAAAGTTTTGTTCCCCACAAACCAGCATTTGCCAATGAAAACAAAATCTTGTAAAAAAAATCCCCAATAGCTGTAGTTATTGTTAGTCATGAGTTCTCTGGGGATTTGTTCACAACTCAATAGAAAATATTATAAAATTATTTACTATATATTAAAAGTCTTTCCGTTTTTTTAAACTACTTCAGGCTTCTTATCTAGCGCTTCTGACATTGATGGTGACATACCACACAGATAAAAATCCCAGTCTGGTATTTTTTCTTACTTTCTCCCTGTTGCCCAATGTCTATCCAAATGAAATGCATGCTCAGCTAGGAGATTAGCAACATGCTTATTATTTTTCTGTTTTTGTTGTGGTTGACTATATTGAATCTAACAAGCCTGATTCTCCTCTCATTTTCTGTAGAGTAAGACAGGTAAAGCCCAAGGGAAATCAGTGGAGTTATTCCAGTACAAACTGGCATAAGTAAGAGTCTCATGCCTCAATGTCTTCTGACCTTTATCCTGAAAAATGCGAGTTGAATGCTAGGGGTATTTTTGTGATACTTCTTTAAAGAGACTAGCCGTTAATCTCTCTGAGAGTAGGTGTGTCTGCTGCAAACATTTCCTTCCAGTCTACCATTTCAATTGCACTTCACAGTACACTGAAAATTGGCAAGGATGTTAATTATTGGCCTGTAGAACAAACCACCTACTTTGATTCAAGCATGTTTTTCCAATTTTTAAGAATGTTGTTTCACCTATAGTACAATATAATTATAGAAAATAGCCTGGTTTGGCTAACATTCTTATGTTCTGTGAATTCTGTTTGCAAGGCTATACACAGCACCAGGCTCAGGACCTAAATGGCTTGCTTGCAGAATATTTTAACCTCTTATTGCCAGGAGTTATGGATTTCCAGTTCCAAGTACATTGCCTTTTAGCTATGAAGTATTGTCATTGAGAGATTAACACCATTTACTTCAGGGAGAGGTAGTTAGCCACATTATTCTGAAGTTAAGCAATTAAGTCTATAAGGCTAAGTAAAAACAGTCAAACAGCGGGAGGCTGAATTGAGTCAGTCTTTGCAGGCTAGTCTAAACTGCAGAAATTAAATTGAGAAACAACTGGACACACATTTACTTTTGATTCAGGAAATGCAGCCACATGCCTGCAGTGGCTCAAGCCAGAAGCAGTGGAGGGGTGCTAGAGCATGGCTCTTTGGCACATAGCCAGCATTGGCCATGTGTTCACTTCCCCTTCCTGCTGCCTTCAAGGTCTCGGGGATTTGCAGTTCAGAATCAGAGCAGCAGGACTCTCCAGGGTTGCTGATCACTTCCTCTTCCTGCTTCCAGGTGCCTCTAGACTGTAGATTTGTAGTCTACAGTCACAGCCAGCAGTAAGTTTGGCAGGAGAGCAGCTCTGTACTCAGGGGAAGGTGGGTTTAACCCACCTCCCTGGCCCCAGACCCCAGCTGGGGTTTGCCTGGTGTGTGTTGCGGGTAGAGGGCAGTCCCTTCTTCTTGTCCCCCAACACTTTTCTGCTGGAGCAGACAGCATAGCCAAGCCCAGGGCTGGAAAGCATGTGGGGGGACTCTGATTTAACTTGAACCAGGAAGGGGTCTGGGACAGAAGTTTCATAAACTGGTTTGACCCAAATCAGTTAAGTCTGACTACATGTAACCAGGTTTATCTTAAACCAGTTTCAGCCATTTTGAAACAGATTTATGTGCACTGAACTTCTATTTTGTTACAGGTTTAAACCAGTTTCTGACACTTAAATTGGTTTATGTGTAACTTCTGTCCCTAGCCTAAGGGGTCATGCTGCATTGCCTTTTGCTATTTACTTTAAAGCTAAAGGGGCCCTTCTAAGTATTAAAATAGTATGTTTTATTCTTCTCATGTATCAAGTCTTGAATTCACTGAGAAGCTTTTTTGTAGTATGAAAAATGTGGTAGGTGCTACTAGTGGCAGAATTCACATATAATACATTAGATGGCTGCACAAGTATTTTTGGTTTTGTGTCCTGTACGTTGTGCATTTGATTGACCTGCAAGAGCTGATCACTGTACAATGGAAGAAAAAAATTTGAAATGATATGGATATGAAGTGCAAGCTCAGTCTGATTTCTGGTTAAATCAGCTAATCATCCTGTGATTTATTAAATAAATTGTATGAACACTGGATACTCCTGAGAGTTCTCTATCACTATTAGAACTGGATTTTTAAAATTCTTGGTGATTAAGCTGTGGAACCACATTAAACCTATGTGAGCATTTATTTCTCCCAATCTCCTCTGAGGCCATAGCACTGCATGGTCAATGCCCATGTTTACCACTCTAAATTGGTACTTTGGTTCAAGGTTAATCACCTTGAATGTCATGTGAATGTGTTTGTTGACAAACAGCAAAATAAAATGAAGAAGAAATGAATGGTGAGAACTGTTTTTTAGAGAATTTGAGGGATCGTATTTAGAACATTATTCACTGAAAGATGGATTTTCACACTATTAGAGTACTAGAATAAATAAATAAATAAAGTCTTACTGAAAGACCAAGTGAACAATGTTACAAAATAGTAGAATTTATATATAATACAACATGCAGTACAGCTGAAATCAGCACTCGAAGTTTGCTGTATTGTGTTGAAATTACTACAGTAGGCTTCTCTAAAATAATTACCAATTATCTGTTTTCAGGCAAAGATGGCAACTCTGCAGCAAGAGAGAGAGGCTGCTGTTCACCAGTGTCAAAAACTAGAAGAAGAAATCCAGACTCTGCGAGTTTATTACAGGTAAAATAATTCATACTTTTGTAAATCAGTGACTTACAGGGGAAATTTTCTGGTGGCATCCTAACTGTAAGGGAGGAAATAGTCCTATTAGATAGGTATGTGTTAGGAACATATGTTAGTATCTTGGTGAATCAAAGCCTTAAATCCAAAGATGTAGTTGACAAACTCTTTTTCTAGATTTCCTCCTTTTCTGCTCACCAAGCTCACACTGGTATTTCTAGGTCCCATCCCCTAAGATTAAGGTCTTTTGTCAATGAATCAAAGAATGTTATTTGAACAAGGTATCTTTTTCTAGGAAAAGTTCTGTGGCTAATAATGCTATTTCATTTTCATAGTTCTGATGCTTATTGCTATTTTTTTCTCTGGCCAGTAATAATCTTGAAACATTCTTGATTAAACATGCATGTGTTGTATTAAACATGCAACACATTCACTTCAAAATGTAAGGACAAAAAGAACCAACTGACCATGAGTATATTTTGTGCTTGGTTGTTTGCACTTACTTAGCTTTATCAGCTTTATTTAAAAAATGCAAAGTCTGCTGAATTCTAGATCAATGTTTTCTTTTCTAGATTGCTACATAATGCATGTTTTACTTTCTTATATTTTATATAATGGAGGTGACAGCCATTCTCTCCTTAGTTTCTGAGGGCTATGACAAACACCTCCATGGATCACTGGATTTGTTTAGTCTCTAAAGGAACCTCTGTGTGGTCTGGTGAAAGAGTTAGCTTGTTTTATGGAGAGCAGTTGTGTTACTATTTTCTCTTCATCCTGATTTCCTCATTAATTTGGCTATGGCAATGACAGCAAGTTAGATGCAAAAATGTTGGCGTCATTACAAGCAGAAAAGTAAAAATCTAAAAGTTCAGCGTATAGTTATTACAAGGTATGTGAGCTGTTGAAATAATCAAGTCCAGCACAAATACTTTTTTTTCACTTAAAGCAAACAGTGCACTAATAAGTTGCAAATAAAAATATCGTGCAACAACAGAATGCACATTGTGTTTTCAATGCTTCCAGACAATGATACAGTTAAGATGGTGACAACATGTACAGATTTCTGTTAGTCCTTAATGCTGCCCATGCTCCTTATATTTATTAAAAATTTTAGGGGAAACATTTCAGAAATGACTTGAGTTCTTATATCTTGGAGGCATTTTTAAAAACTTCCCCCTTTATTATAAGTTAATGGAAACTCCAAGCAATCTCTCACTATTGCTTTTTACAAATTTGTCCAGCACTTAATAAAAAAATTCTAGATATGCATTAATAAGTCAGAATTATTATATTAAAAGTGATTTGCAAAATTGTACAAATAGCTAGATTTTTTGTTGTTGTGGTGTTTCAAAAATTCAGGCTCAAACTTTTCATATTTTAGTCTCAGAAAATAAATTCACTTCTCTCTGTAACCTTTACATAAACTTTTATTGTACATATAGCTCACTGACAACACTTTGCTTTCCAACATAAAAAGTTTCACGGCAACAATTATTAGGCCATGGTCTCTTGATACAAATACTTAATTCTATGTAACATGAATCATGCTTACTTGCAAATATCAGTATTATAGTTAACTTCTGGCCTTTAATTTCGACTGGCAATGATTTAGTGGAAATTTGTTTATACACCTTTGCAAGGACTGTTCATTATATATTCAAAATGTATACTTGAATAAAAATATCATCATCTTGTCTGAGAGCTTTTGGTGTCATTAGTAACTAGGTTATAGAGCCTTTTATAGGGTTATAGTAAAAGGCTGTGTAATTTTCTTTATACCTTTATGTCTCAAAGCATTGTTTTTTCTAGTACATTTAGAGCTGGGTCCCCGATGCATACATATGTGTCATCCAGAACAGCTTTTAAAACAGCTTCTAAGATTACAATAACACTTTTGCAAAAGTCAAAATAATAATAAAGAATAAAAAGAGCTTAAGTTTATTCCAGGTTGTTAAATCAAAAATTTCTGCATTTTCACCTCTGTTTCTCACTGGGAAATAAAAGAACCCACACTGTGGTGACTAGCCAGATGTATTAAACTAGGCCTGAAAAACTACTCTAAGGAAGAGCTTTTAAAACTTACAGCAGTCAGAGTCATGTTCAGTACATGATCTCTTTTTTTTTTTTTTCTTTTTGGGTCACAAACCAGTAACACTACATTCCAAGGCTCAGCCGGCATAATAATGACATCCTCTTCTCTAATAAAAGTATGCCTAAGTCTCTGCTGATTTTCAATGCTTCCTTATATTTCCTATTGTTGAGAGAAGATGCAAACTGAAATAATTAAACACTAACTAAACCCTACTGTGTGCTGCCAACAAAACAAGATTTAATATGCCTAATAACTGATACTAGTACTTTAATGTTCTATAATTTTTTGCTGGAGGGTGCGTCTAGTTTTCCCAGTGTACAGTCTGGTGTAGTTGATAGTAATCCCACATATGAAGTTTTCTGTTAACACGTGGAACACAGGTTCATCGGGAGGTGAGTTGGGAGTATGACATTAACTTTTTTTGCCTCTCATTTTTATGTGGTAAGGTGAGGAAGAGCTATACAGGAGGGGAAAAAAGGGAAAATTACAACCTTGGCACAATGTAAAATTTCACTTGAAAGCTTAGCAAAAACGTTAAGATTTTGAGCCATTTATAAACCTCTCTCCCCTCTTAGTCTGTTTCACTCCCATGGCCGAATGTAAAAAATGCACACCAAGAAAAGCATTTTGAAAACATTCTCTAAGAATCTTCCCCTCTTGTCGCTCTCATAACCCCCTTGTTCTTTAAAAGCTTCCAGTTTATGTTGGCCTGTTTCAGCCCTGGCATCAAACATTCTAAGGAAGTGACCAAACTGTGGAGACAAGCACAGTTACACATACAAAAAAGAAATATGCATATGCATTAACTTGAAATGTTTGGGGATCTGAAGCAATTCTTTGAATTTGAAAAGCACTAATGCTTTGAAGATACTAAAACAATGAGTATATTTTGCAGATCTTCTCAAGCTAATACTAGAACATCAGTAAAATCTCGATAACAGACTCGTGTATACTGCATGTGTAACATATTTAAGAATTTTTAAAATATCTATTAGTGCTGCTTTTTTCCTCTGACCCACTATAATCAGACTAGTTACCATGAGTCCAACAAGTTCTTTGAGGAAAACGTACAGCTAATATAGTTAAAAAACCTTTGCAGGTAAACTATAGTCATAGTATCAAAAAGTTGGGAGGGATCACAAAGATCTTCTAGAACTGCTTGTCTATACATAACATTAATTAGTTTTACTTTCATTACTTTTGTGCCAGGGCTAGACCTCTTTTTTTGTGTTTCACTGAAGAAGCAAGGTCTCCTTTCTCAGATGATGGAAACTGGTTATGCCATTTTGCAAAGAGTTGTGAGATATCATATGAATTGATATGAGACTTTAAAAAATATAGCTAATTTTGGATAGTATCTTTTTTAAGGCAGAAAGCAAAAAAGTGAGGAAAGAATCCCAAACTTGGGAAGTAAGAAAGGAAAGAAAATGGTAGAAGGTTGGTTTTATTTGAACATCAGCTATTTGGAGCTGCCCACGGATTTGGAATGTTAGAACTCTGCCCTGTGTGTGATGTATAGGGGGACAGAGTGCAAGTGAAAGTGGCCATGGTATTTAAGAGATACAGAACTGGCATTTCGAAGTCTTCAAAAACCACTGGTTAGTCCTAAAAAACACAATAAGATCAGCTTGAAATGATAAAATTAAAAGCAAAATACATTTAAGTTTATTTTTGACCAAACAAAAAGAAACCTGATACTCAACCTTAGCATTTCTTTCTTTATATGCTTTTGTGTTATCTGTAATGCAATTGAATGGTAGCATCTCATCAATTTAAATATTTCAGAGAATATACTAGATATCAGTGCACAGAGCTGTCTTTATTTTGGTTGACATTTGGAAAAAGTAGAAAAGGGAAATGACAAACATGTGGAGCCCATCTGTGTACCAGGGCCATCCATCTCTAGCACAGATCAAAGAATCACCCTTTAACAACTTCTAGCATGACAGCATACCCCCTCATTTCAGCTCTGCCAATTCTCCCAGCACTTCAAAGATGTTGATATCCTAAAAGACTTTCTCCCAAGAACAAAAAATGAAAATGATGGGAATAATGGGAGGTGTACGCAGAGGTTCTGTCATGGGGGGGAAAAGGGAGAAGTAAAACATAGATGGGGGACAGCACCCTGGCAAAAAGGAGAGAATGGGGGACTCTGGCACGAGGAGAACTGCAGGCTGGGGAAAGCAAAAGACAGAAGATACAAAGAGCTCCTGACAAAAGGAGGGGATATGGAAAATAATGGCACAGGGACAGTGTGTAAGGAACACGTGTTCCTGTTTTCAAGTTTTCTTCTGCAACTGTAAAGGAAACTTGGTTGTTTCAAATAATGAGTTGACTCAAGAGCAGGAAATTTTGGGAAAAGTAACATGGCCCCATGTTAACACGTATGCTACCACATAGTGTGCAGTGATTCCATGTAGGTATGTTTATCTAGCTGGGAGTGGGTATATGTTCATATACTTACATAAAGGTGATTTTTTTCCACTTATGACCCCATTGACAAAAGGGCAGGGGAAGTACTGAGTACCCCACTTTTGCACACATGGAGAAGCTGGGAAAGAAGAAACTTGCTTGTACAACCCCCTTGACCTTGCTTCCCCTCCAGCACATCACAGGGCCACAAGGAAGGAGGACAAAGTCAGTTGGCTTCATGTGAAATATAAAAGAGAGGAGTTAATTCACCTCTCATGGGAGGCTTTATAACCTAACTGGCACTGAACATGTGCACAGTACTGCCTCTTTCCCTGAGAGCAGTATTGGCATGTGGTAGCTGCTGTTTGAAGACATTAGTCTTTTTTTCTCTGCCAAAAGCCTCTATTGTAGGTTGTGCTCCCCTATAGATGAGATACAAAGCAGTTCCCAGCAGAAAAGAAGTTTCATGGAGGAAAAGAACATAGCCCTCCAAAAG